CTGGGTGCGGCCCTCCAGCCAGTTGGCGACCCATATGACTGTGTGGGTGTCTACACCACAGCCCCCCAGTTTCTTAATGAGAACAGGGTGAGAGACAGTGTCAAAAGCCTTCCGGAAGTCCAGGAAGACTATGTCCACTGCTACCCCTGCATCTAATGATCTGGTGATCTGATCGTAAAAGTCCACCAGGTTGGTCTGACAGGACCTGCCACTGATGAACTCATGTTGGTTGCCCCTAAGCATGCAGTCCCCTGCTGGCCCCTCCTGGATGTGTGCCAGAATAATTTTCTCGAACAGCTTGCCTAGGATCAAGGTAAGACCAACTGGCCTATAGTTTCCTGGGTCCTCCCTTTTTTGAAGATGGGAACCATGTTGGCCCTCTTCCAGTCCTCCGGCACCACTCCAGAGCACCACGAGTGCTCGTAAAGCCGTGCCAGGAGTCCTGCAATGACCTCGGCCTATTCCTTTGTTTATCAAGGTATGTTTACCAAGGTATGTGGGATTGGATGCCTGTTTAAAAACATAAGCACCTATTTCAGCCACAAAGTGTAGGGTTGGAGGAATTTCAGTGGGGAGAGGGGAAGGAAGAAATTCTCCAGTCTGTGTTATGCAGAGAGTCAAACAATAGTGGTCCCTTCTGGCTTTAAGATATGTGTATAAATGACTTCACATTAGTGCCCTAGGTATTTTCAGGGATATATAGCTTGTTTGTGTATTGTGTTTCAAAAGCAACTCCAGGACCTACAGCAGTGCACTTTCATATTGTAGATGGACAGCCAGCAGTCTTTCCTTAATAGTCCTTCCTAAAAATTCCCTAAGAACCAGGAAATTAGGTTAGAGAAGTACTCCTAACCTTGGAGATATCAGTGATCTGAGTGGTTAAGCCACTGGGATGGGACACAGAAGAGGTGAATTCAGGTTCTTTCTCTATTACAAATTCCCATTATGATTCTTATGGTCAAACAAATCATTAGGCTCTGTAAGGGTGGGTATCTTTAGCAATATAGGAAATATCACAGTGCTTTTATGTAAATTTTAGTGGCATTGCCCACCTGGTATCTAGTTTGCTGTTCTGGTCACCCCATTTCAGAAAGGACACTACAAAAAAAAGGTATTGAGAATATGCAAAGCCCCAGAAAACTGTCATATGAGGGAAGAGAGAAAAGATTGAAATTGTCTGCCTGGGAAGGAATTGATAATAGAAATGTATGTTGATGAATCATCTAGACATGGTAGACTGGAAGTTTCTGTTCTTCCTGTTTCATGACAAAAGAACAAAGGGAACATTTGATGACATTAAAAGGCAGCAAATCTAAATCCCAGTAAAGAGATAAATTGTTCACCCAGTACAAAATTAGACTGTGGAACTCATTGCCATATGATCTTGATAAGATCAACAATAGAATATAGCAATATTCAAAAAAGGGGTTGGGTGCCTGTAGAGATGGTAAATCTCTCTGGAGTTGTTATAATTAATAATTATAAACATTTTGGAATGGCTGTTGAACCTTATGCTTCCCAGCTCAGGCTATGAAGCTTTTTAGAGACCAGGATGAGACTCTATGTGGGCATTAGGTTATCCTGCACTTGCCTACTGAAGGGGTTCTCGTACCTTCCTGTCAAGTGTCTGGTGCTGGTCATTGTTAGGGACTGCCTTCTGGAGCAGGTGAACCACGCGTCTGGTCTAGGAGTCCATTTCCTCTGTCCTTCTCTGAGTTGCAGTTACCCTTCAGTAAAAATGGGTATATATACTTCCTTTCTCCCACCCTTTATTTATCTTGTCTCTCTCGACTGGAAATTCTCCAGGTTGAGGACTGTTTCTTCCAATGTGTTTGTACAGCACTTGGCACAATAGGGACTCAAGCTTGCTTAGGTTTGCTAGGCACTACTGCAATACAAATAATAACAGTAATAAACATAATTACATTAGCCAAGATACAATTGCAAGGATTCTCAAGCCTCATGTTTAAGGAGGACCTTCTCCCTCGCCTTATGCAGTATTGAAATATGGGCATTTTGTATCCTCCAATGAGATGGGCCACTAGACTTGGTGAAATACTACTAGGCTGTTTGAATATGAGAGTCGAAGCAGTCTCCGTAACCAGTGGTTTCCTCATTGGGCTGCCTTAATAGCAGCATAACTTGGGGGTCTCAGTACATTGGCTAATCTGGCCAGCTGGTAGGGCCCTGGGAAGCATTATGTGCCTTTAGAGGAGGAAGTAAGTCTGGGGTTAGCTAACTTTTATAAGCATGGACTGCTGCTTGTAACCAGATGCAGGCCATTGATCCCCTGCTGCTGCCCCCCCCCCAATGCAACCTTCACTTATCATATGCCAGCAGTAATCATGGCCCACACCACAGTAATTACCAATTATCCCTCCTTATCCTGATTATCCACAAGGGCCATATCCAAACTCTTTGCAGGCCGACCTCCATACTAGGCTCTATTTTTGCCTTTGGACTTAACCTTAATATTTTTTCCTTTTTCATTCATTCCCTTAGTCAACTCCCTTCCTGGGAAACTGAGCTGCTGCAAAACTGGGTGGAGGAGCAATTCTGAGAGTGTTTATGTCAGGATGAAATAACCCTCTCTCACTTGAGGGACAAGAGAAAACACTGTACCTTAGTCTGTGGCATCTTAGAACAAGAAAGAGAAATTCTGGTCTCACTTAGGGCTTGGCATGGTGAGGAAATTTGCTATGTGATGTTGGCGGAGGATGCTGGGTGGTGTGGAGGTTGTGTGAATGGTACTGTGAGAGCCAGCAAAGTAGGTGACCCTTGGTGGGGTTGCTAATGCAAGCACAAGGTTGGCAATGACTGTTTTGGGCAAATGAAGAAAACACATTGAGGAGGTTACAGTTAGGAGTCATGACAGATTTTTTTGTGTGGAGGGAGGTAGGATATCAGAGGAGTGTGTGAGTAGATGTGGGAACCCAAAGAGGAGGCAGGTGAAGAGCCCGTCTCAGTCAATGAGGTAATGGGAGTGAGCCAGCCATACTGAGGTGGAGTTGGGAGAGGGAGGGGACGATGATGGGGAAGAGGTGTTGTGAGGAAGGGTCAGGCAGATGGATTTTGTTGGACTGAGTAAGCAGGATGATGCTTGGGGAAGAAGGGGTGTCTTGGGGGACCTAGATAACCCTGGGAGTACCTGCATGTGTTGGGAAGGAGGGGATTAAACTGAGAAACTGAGTGGGTTTACATGTAGGAGACACTTTGGGACATGTTGCCCAGGGAGAGGAAGGCACACATGCTTTGCCATAGAGAGGAGCAGGGCTGCAGTGGAATAAATTTTGTCTTAATAATGCATTCTCGCCCCCACCCCTCAGCCTCACTGCAGTCTGTGTACAGAGGAGCACTGCCTGCCGAAAGCCAGCACACCGCGGCTGAGTGGAATTATAAGCATCTCACTGGGAGATGGGCAGGGAGTGAGCATGAGCGAGCATCGACTCAGGCAGCACAAACATTCTCGCCTCTCTCGCTGAATCAGGGATCGCGGAGTCTGCCTCTACTTGCCCCAGCTTTCCCCCTCCCCCCGTTACCAAGATGCACAGCATTGGCTCTTCACCCACTGCCTCTGCCCCTTCTCCAGTCCCATCTGCCATTCCTGGAGCCTGAGCCAAGTGAATGATCGCCAAGGAATCTGCAGTACTGTCTGGGCGTCCCACCCACAAGTGCCTCCCACCCAGTGGGAAGGGGTCAGTGGAGCGGCAAAGCTTTGTAGGCTCAGGGAGGAGGGAGGGATGGGTAAGGCCCGGAGCCAAATGGTACGATAGTCTGCCTGCCTGGAACATGTTCTGGGATCTGGCAGGAGGGGTCCAGGTCAGGGATGCTGTGTAGATGACTTGGAGAGCACAGGGATTTTAGTTCACATTCATCAGCCTGATTCCTCTGACAAATCTTCCCGACTCTTCCGATCTTCCCATTCCCCACCCTGTATCCACCCACTGCAGTGTTGATCTGTGCCATCTGTATCTTGGTCCCATCCATTCATCCATTTGTCTCATTCATCCTGGGTATATCTGTCCTTTGGCTCAGTGTGTCTGCTCCCCTCCTCCATCTGCTCCATCCAACAGTCCCTCCATGTGCCTCAGTCAGACAGCTACATTTCCATCTGCCTCCAACATCATCCTGCCTTCCTATGTGCCTCTCTTTCCTAACCAAGATGACTTGCAGCCATCCCTCCACCTACCAGCTCTCTTGTCCTTCCCAGGTAGGCTGCTGCTTTAACCCTGCCAGCCTACATTCTGGGCAGTCATCCTAGAGTCCTGGTCCTTCCTACCCACAAGAGAGGACCAGGAAGCAGTACTAAGAGGACACCAATAGAGGTCGAAGAGCCCTTACAGGAGGGCAGATGATAACCCACAATATGTCTTCATACCTCTCTCCCTTACACCACAATGCCTTCAGACAGCTTTTGGTCACCTCCCGTGCTCCACCTCTGCCTGAGCTGTGTTGCTGTGTGCGTGCATCCCAGCTGCCCTACACATATGCCCTGACCTGGCAGTGTTGCAACGATCGTATAACCTCCCCACCCCACCACACAGACACAGAGCTATGTTTCAATGTCCAAGCAAGCCACTTGCCATAGGTTTGTTTTAATGCATATACAAGGTGGAGGGCTGTGCACATACATCCTCTTTGGCTTTGCTGTGATGCCCTGTGTATAGCCCCCACTCCAGTTGTCCCACAGTGTACCCGCCCTCTGCCCCGGCCCTCCTGCATGCTCTCAGTAAAAACAATGTTGCCCTTCTGTGTTTATAGGGAATTTGCCAAAGAGAGAGAGAGAGTGGAGAACCGCAGAGCCTTCATGAAGCTGCGACGACAGCAGCAGATTGAGCGGGAGCTGAATGGCTACAGGGCCTGGATAGATAAAGCAGGTAAGGCTGGTGAGGGTCACGGGTTTTCCCGGGTCAGTGTGTGAGTGGGAATGACAAAGTGACCCTGCTGCCTCAGCAGAGAGGAGCTGCTGCATTTGCTCTGGAGTACAGCAGGTGTCTGGAAAGGAGGAGGCTGCCATGACTGATTAATAAATTAGCTATGTGATTTACAGATTGTGGCTCCGTGAGTTTTTCTGGCTCTTCCTCCATGCCTAGACTGTCAGTGTCTCATGCCTCCCTCAGAAAATATTTCACTGGGATTGGAGAAATACTCTAGTTACTTGAAACTAAATTATGAGTCGGAGGCCATGACTCCTTTCAATTACCACAGGTGGGCCAAATTCTACACTTGGCTAAGACTTTGTATCACTGCTGGAGTCAAATGAGGTTACACAGCTGTGACTGATGGCAGGGGTTGGCTTGTTATCTCCAGGGTGTGCACTCAGGTTGGTATTCCAGGAGCATGACCACTCAACACAGTGCAGTACTATATAAAGATATTTTAGACCAGCTGTGAATGCATTTGCTCACATATTGGAGTCTACCTGGCACAAGGCAGCACTGCAGGCATTCAGTCTGGAACAGAAAGCAGTATCGCTATGTTAACACAGTCCTGTGCCAGGACTCAGAAGCCTTGCTTCTCAGCTGAGCCAGTTAGTCCATGCACAGCATCATGCTAACGCAGTCACGTGGCTTTCAGTTCCAGAGCTACTGCATGCAGATGGTTCTGGTATCTCTGCATGACACCACCTTGCATTGTACAGACATGCCTATGGCATTTAACAGGCAAAACCAACAGGCAGACAGCTTGGCTGACCAGAGATACAGCTAAAGTATCTTAACCCATTTCTTTGCCTCCAAATTTCTGAGGAGGGACCTGGTCATCTCCCCAACTGGGACCCCCGTGGGCCCTATGGGCGGCACACCCAAGCCTAGGATCAGCGAGGACCTAGTCAGGGAACTTCTGGAGGGACTAGATGTATTTAAATCAGCAGGTCCTGACGATCTCCACCCCAGAGTGCTGAGGGAACTAGCGGAGGTTATTGTGGGACCTCTGGCACAGATTTACGAGCACTCATGGTGATCGGGTGATGTGCCGCATGACTGGAAAAGGGCCAACGTGGTTCCCATCTTCAAAAAAGGGAGGAAGGAGGACCCAGGAAACTATAGGCCCGTGAGTCTTATCTCGGTCCTGGGCAAGCTTTTTGAGAGAATTATTCCGGTACATATCTACGAGGGGCCAGCAGAGGAGATTATGCTTAGGGGCAACCAACATGGGTTTATTAGGAGCAGGTCTTGTCAGACCAACCTGGTGACCTTTTATGACCAGGTCACCAAATCCTTAGATGCAGGTATCGCAGTGGATATAGTCTTTCTGGACTTTAGGAAGGCCTTCGACACAATCTCTCACCCCATTCTCATAAAAAAAAACTAGGAGATTGTGGTGTTGATGCCTACACAGTCAGATGGGTCACTAACTGGCTGGAGGGCTGCACCCAGAGAGTGGTGGTGGATGGCTCATTTTTGACCTGGAGGGATGTGGGCAGTGGGGTTCTCCAGGGCTCGGTCCTCGGGCCCGCACTGTTCAACATCTTCATCGGCGACTTGGACAAGGGGGTAAAAAGCACTTTGTTCAAATTCGCAGATGACACCAAGATGTGGGGAGAAGTGGGCACACTAGAAGGCAGTAATAGTCTGCAATTGCATCTAGACAGGTTAGAGGGGTGGGCCAATGGGAACAGGATGGGGTTCACCATTGACAAGTGCAAGATACTACACCTGGGGAGGAAGAACCAGCAGCATACCTACAGGCTGGGGAACTCCCTTCTCATCAGTGCTGAGGCAGAAAAGGATCTTGGAGTCATTATTGACGCCACAATAAACATGGGCTGACAATGTGGGGATGCCAACCATACCTCGTCATACATCCACAGATGCAAGTCAAGCAGGTCCAAGGAGATGATCCTCCCCCTCTATGCGGCACTGGTCAGGCCGCAGTTGGAGTACTGGGTCCAGTTCTGGGCGCCGCACTTCAAGAGGGATGTGGACAGCATGGAGAGGGTCCAGAGGAGGGCCACTCGCATGATCAGGGGGCAGCAGGGCAGGCCCTACGAGGGGAGGCTAGGGGACCTGAACCTGTTCAGCCTCCACAAGAGAAGGCTGAGGGGGGAACTAGTGGCCGTTTACAAACTAGTCAGAGGGGATCAGCAGGCATTGGGGGAGTCACTGTTCCCCTGAGCACTACCAGGAGTGACTAGAAATAGCGGTCGCAAGCTGGCAGAGGGTAAATTCAGGCTAGATATCAGGAGGCGCTACTTCACGGTCAGGGCGGCTAGGATCTGGAACCAACTTCCAAGAGAAGTGGTGCAGGCTCCTACCCTGGGGGTCTTTAAAAGAAGGCTAGATGAACACCTGGCCGGGGTCATTTGACCCAGTACCCTTTCCTGTCACGGCAGGGGGTCGGACTGGATGATCTGCTCAGGTCGCTTCCGACCCTACTAACTATGAAACTATGAAACTCTTTCTCCATAGTGATGCTATGAGGAAATCTGAAACTCATCTTTTTCCATCATTAACATATGGTTTCAGGTAATCAGTAGTCACAACAAGGAAAGCACTGTAATCCTAACCACTCAGAATCTCTCCACTGCTAATCCATCAGTGAACTCTATCCTGGTAGATAGATCCCTGCAGATAGCTCATTGTAAGACTGAGACCAGACCAGCTATGCTTCCCTCTGGTTGTACAGAGTGAAGAGTTGTTTGAAGCAGCGCACCAGGCACATTAATAAGCTGGTCCTGAGAGGTGCTGGGCTCAGGAGTAAAGAAGCCATTTAACAGTTCATTTATTCCAAGTGACTACATTTCAATGCATAGAACTCTCCTGTGTTCATATTATGAACTCAAAGCACGCGCGTGAAATAGCCTCAGCAAATGTGCTGATCCAGCAAAGCGCTTACCCATGTCAGAAATGTGGCAGTACAAAACAGATTATAACACCCATGTTTGGTGGTGTATATTTTTAATATTTTGCATGCAAAGAAGAGCTGACAGGAGGTTGGCATCTTTCCAGGGAACACAGTTAAGGCAGTTTTGCCAATACAGCCATGACAACTTCCATGCTCCTAAAGATTGAGGTATCTAGTTTGACCTTAATTCTGAGTTTTCTGGGTTTTTAAGTTTTATTTTTGTGATGTTATTTTAATGATAGATTGTACTGAGAGATTATATACCCTCAAGTCATGGGTACGTGCTTACAACCTTAGCTTCACTTTATTAAAGATCTTGTGTGTAGAAGTTATTAAGAGATACCGATTTCATAATATTTTAAATACCGAAACTCTGCTAGCTCTAAGAGTAGGAATTCTACAATTCTGTGGGACTGTGTGGGGCTCTCTATTCACTGGAGTTATCTACCACAGAGTGGGAGGACTTAGAGGAGCAAGGGTTTAGTTGGTTACTTTCCAGCTAGTTTGGCCACTGCAGGATTTTTGAGTAGATGCACTCAATATTTTCCACCTCTTTTGTCCTCTGCTCCTGACTTGGGACTGCATCTAAGAAAGGGAAATATTTTCTTCAGAGCTACAGAATTCCAAACAGATAAGACAAAAATTTGGCCTACTGCATCTTTTTTTAATCTTGCCACAAATATGCAACTAACATCAGCATTTATCACTGAAGAATTTAATCAAAGGGCTATCCTTAGGTCATGGGTCCACAATGTAAATACAATATGCATATGGAAATGTAATAACAAAAATGTTACATGCAAGCTCCAAGAAGCGACTCTCCACTCAGTTCAGAAATGTTGAGGCTGTGCATGGAGGAGTATATCCAGTGCAGGGCACTTCTCTTTAAGAAAGATATGGACAACCTGGAGAAATTCCAAAGGAGAGTAAGAAAAATAATTAGATGTCTATAAAACATCTTAATGTGCAAATAATTGAACTAGGCTAGTCTAGTCTACATACCAACAGGGAATTTAGTAATAGTCTAAAATACTAAAAGGGTGGTTATAAAGAGGATGAAAATGAATTGTTCTTGATGCCCTTTGGGGACAGGACAATAAATAATGGGCTTAAGTTGCATCAAGGAAGATTTGAGTTGGACATTACATGAAGCTATCTCTATGGTATTAAAGCACTGGAACAGATTACCTTAGATTGTAGGATGCTCATCACTGGGAGTGCAAGTTAGGCAAAACTTGGCTAGAATGATTTAGATAGGGATGACCCTGCCTTGACTGTGAGTTATACCACATGACCTGCAGAAGTGCCTTCCAGCCCTACTTCATTATGGTCTTATGGCTTATAGGGTTTGCAGAACTGATTCAGATGGAATAAGAGGCTTGAGTGTTGATTCAAGATTTATATTAAGAAGTCCTATTCATGTAAAGATTGAGCATGAATCACCAAGCTCAGCAGTGGATGTGGATTTGGTTCCAAAGGTGGTCATTATTCAGTGTTTGTTTCAGACCTCTTTTTATCCTAAAAAAAGGTTCTTTTTCACATGTCTTTGTACTTCCTGGTTCTGTCGGAAACAGAACTGAAAGTTCCAAAATGCATAAGAAAGGTTAGTTATTCACATGATATCTTTGGAAGCAACTGAAAATCCTGAGGAAGACAGTTGAGTTTTCCAGGCGTGTTTTGTAGACTCAAGAAGTTTAGATAAGTTGTAGCTTCTGAAAACTTGTCCCCACCCAAACCAACAGATTGTGCTGAGCTTATTTGCTTCATTTGTTTTCAAGAACGATGGCGACATTCAAGACCAGAAACTTTCATCTGGTGTAAATGGATGTCGTTGTATCCTTCTAGATCAAGTGAAGTTCTGGCCTCAAATATGTTCCATAGCTAGATTTCTTTTCTGTTCTAAGTCCATATTGTTCTGTATATTATCTCTTCCTTGACTTCCCCAAGGTATTGCAGCTAAAAAAAACATGATGCTGACCTGCCATCTTCAATAACGTCTGAACTCTTGATAAAAATTAATTTAAAAATTAGTAGATATAACACAGCCTTTGTTTTCTTTGGTTACTGGCATAGGAAATAAAGCCCCCCAAGCACTTTCTGCATCATCACAGAGGAGCTTTGGGAGTTGCCAAGTTAAGCCTCATCTGCAAAACCATTATTCAAAAACAACTTGCACAATTTTTATGTGATGGAAAATTCTGTTTGGATTAGAAAGGCAGGTTATAGGTAATGTAAGACATTAGGGAGTTTATTAAATCTTGGAGAAAGCAGGTCAATAGATGTGAAGTCACTCTTTGTTCCACGTGTTGGACATAGTGTCGTATAGCTGACTCTCTGCACCACTGTAAAATCATGTTTGCTCATTTACCTGTCACCATACAAGGGTTAGCAACCCATGGTAAGACTCTCATTTAGTTTTGATGTACAAGAGTCCAGTGGCACTGTAGCATTTACTCCTGACCATTCCTGTGTTATCTTATATTGCTGGTACTGAACCATTTGTTTTTTATGTAGAGGAAGTGATGCTGGCTGAAGAGAATAAAAATGCTGGAACTTCAGCTTTAGAAGGTAAGGAAGACAGACAGCTGTGCTGTTAAAAGTATCTACGGTCCTTTTCTTGCACCCACCTAAAGACTGTGTTTTAAATTCCTAGAGTAGTGGGGAACAGACATATGATTTGGGTGGATGCTGGGAATGTGCAGTTTCTTTTGGTGAGCAGGAGTTCAACATGATAGATCAGGAGGGAACTAATTTCATCTTTCCTTGAATGGAGATATGACACATGAGAGACCATGGAACCAAACTACAGCCTCATAGGTCATTTGACTGGCTAGTACTGGGAAATGAACTGCAGGCCTATTTGGTGACCCAGTCATCATATAGCAGCCTAGACAGCACATGAACAAATGAATTGCTAGCATCATTTAGGTTCAGTGGTTATTAGAGCTCTTTTCTCCTTCATTTCTAGTGCTCAGGAGAGCTACTATCAAAAGAAACCGGACAGAAGCCATGAATCGTGACTCAAGTGATGAACACTGTGTTGATATTTCGTCTGTAGGTGAGTGGATGCTTGTCTGGCAGCCAGCTTGGTCCCTAGGGACCATTCCTCAGAATCCAGGTTCAGTTCAGTCTAGTCCAGAGTCTTCTTCCCACCAGTTTTTCATGCACTGAATAATCTTGTCAAGTCATTGCAGAGAAGTGTTAAGTCCAGCTGGAGATGGCTATGGACCTTCTGCTGTAATTAGTTATTAGTATAGGGAGTAATCCCTGCCCAGTCTCTTTCAGGGGCATTGCAGAAGTAGTATAAGGTCTAGCGAATAAACCCTTCTGCAATTAGCAGGGCCCTTGAGGATGGAAGTAGTGATTCCCATCTCCTGCGAGTCTGACCCAATCACTTCCTGTGCTGAGCAGAATCTCAGCATGGATTCCTTTTCATCTACTGATTTCATCTGGCCTCTCTCCTCTCTTGCCTCAGGGACCCCCCTTGCTCGCTCCAGCATCAAGAGTGCAAAAGTGGATGGTGCCTCTTATTTCCGGCACAAGGAACGACTTTTGCGTATCTCCGTTCGCCATATGGTGAAATCCCAGGTGTTTTACTGGATCGTCTTGAGCCTTGTGGCTCTCAACACTGCCTGCGTGGCCATTGTCCATCACAACCAGCCATTGTGGCTCACCCACTTACTCTGTGAGTTCCTAGCCTTTATCTTTGTTTGTGCATGTTACAGGAAGCCAGGAGCATCAAAGAAAACAAAACTCCTAGCCTTAGGGCCAGATGGTGTGATTGCTTGGAGCCCCAAGAAATCCTAGAATGGGGCATGTTTTTCTCCCTTCCAGCAAGGCTGTTGGGGGCAGCAACTCACAGGAACATTGTTGTATGTTGGAGACACTGGGTCTGATTCCGATGAGGTGCATTCTACTGAAGTCAGTGGAGTCAGACTGTCAGGGAACTGCAGGGAAAGAAGTGTCACACTTGCCATTCATACCAGAATCTCCAGTATTGGATATGGAGATTTTCACTGGTATTCTCTTTCTTGTTCATGGTTATTGAAATCATTTTTGGTAGTGTTGTCATCCCACAGCTTAAATATGAATGAAATTTATTAGGTTTGTGTCACCCAGATCCAATACAGTTTCTAAGGGAGGTGACTGTCCTGGGGACATAATAATACATTTACACTTCTGTAGTGCTGTAATTAACACCCTTCTGAATTAAGTAAAAGCCATTTCTTCTAGCACAGATATGTAGCCATCCTTGGGCTGTTCAAGAGAGCATAGTAGCATTACCCAACAGATCAAGGCACAATGAGCAGTAGTTGCAACCAACACAAACTGATGAGGATTTCAGGTAGGCAGAATGTAATTCTTAATTAGAGTTTGTCCGTGGCACCATGGTTATCACACACACTATTAATAATTACCATAAATCTTTGATGACTGTAAGTAATTAGAACCTCAATTTTACAGCTCACTAAACAGACAGCAATGTACTTCCCCCATGCTGGTGCAGTACTGATGCACCTGGAAGAGTACTACCTGCTGAATTTATGCTAGTAATGCTTTACCTTGAAACCTGTTTCTTCAAATTCTGCTCGAGCCTAACTCTGAGTGACTTGTGCAGATGTGCTGAGTACAGCACTACATACACTACCTGGTTGATAATGACAATCATCTGGACACAATGTAGAAAAAATGACTTCACCACTAATATTCATGAAAGATCTTGTGTTAGGTTTCACAAGCCTTCAGTTGTTAACCTCAGTGTCCTGGCCAATCCAAGCCATGGTTAGTATTACTAATCTTTCTCTGTTGTTTCATTTGGAGAAGTTCTTTGTTTCTTCCTTTAAAACTGGTGTGTTTTTAAACAGCTGCTGCATTTCGCTAAGATGTGTGTGCATCTACATGAATACATGCTTTCATTTGACACGTGTGCGCGCACGTGCACACACACACACACACACACACACACACACACACACACACACACCCCCTACCTCTTGAAAGATTAGCCTGCATGTAGCAGTTCTTTTCTTTCGCCAAGTTAAGAACCCCAATCCACCCAACCTTCCTATATCCCCTGGGCCAACTCCACACCTCTTCCTTAGCCAGTGAAAAAACAGCTTAGTCCCCTACTGAGTTGCCTTATCTGCAAAGTGGACTGAGTGGGTTATTGAAGTCTCTTTATCCAAGACCCCTCAAAATATAAAGCATGGTATGCTGGTATAGCATGTCATGTTCCCATCTAGAGGCTGGTCTAACCTGCTGCTGGAAACAGCTAACAGAGTTATTCTTAGATTCTTAGTAAGTAGATATACTTGGGTGCTGAATGTTTGAACTGGCTACGTATGGAGGGGGTCAGCCTGTCAACCCTTTGCACTGTATTGTAGGCATGAGTAAAGAGATGCAGGCATGTAGCTAATGTACCTGGATTTCCCTTTTCAGACTATGCAGAGTTCCTGTTTCTTGGGCTCTTCCTTTTGGAGATGTCCTTAAAGATGTATGGAATGGGGCCACGCCTTTATTTCCACTCCTCTTTCAACTGCTTTGACTGTGGGGTAAGCAGCATGTGAGATGACAGCAAGTGATACAGGGACATGTTGTGCACTAAGGGGATCCACAAGGTCCCCTTAAAAGAGGGGAGGGGATGGCACAAGGTCCCCTTGAAAGAGGGGAGGGGATGGCACTCAGGGAAGGACAGGCAGCAGCAGAGGAGAAGTGCTGCTATACTGGGAAGTGCCATGCAAGTCAGTGTTGTGATACTCTGATGGTGATGGGATTCAGTGACACCCCACAGGGACCACTGGAGTTTGCATCCAGGATAAAAATCTAATCAGTTATGCTTCTGAAGAGGACAGGTCTTTCTGAGGGCAACAGGGAAGAGAGACCTATGAGAGGGAATAGTCTACTACACTGGGAGACTGAGATCTAAGCCTTGGAATACAGCCTAATGATTATTTTGCTTTGATAGCTAGTTGAGGTGAACATCAGATGAAACATTTTACTTCTTGGAGGAGGAAGCAGCAAAATGGATCAGAAGCATTTCCCCCCCCCCCAGTTTTCTGATATAAGGGAGTTGACTCCTTCCACTAGCAAAAGCTGTGTTTTTGTTCACTTACCTGCCACCTTACAAGATCCAGTAAGTGACAACAGGGCTTCTATTCACTACTGCAAAATCAGAAGCTCAGGGAGAAGGGACTCTGCCCAGTTACATACAGGAGACTGACTTCCTGTGATTGCCCTAGTCCTCATCTCTAGGCCCCTCTTGTGGCAATGTGCGCTGTCTCATGAGTGTTTCTCATCCTTCAGGTCACAGTGGGAAGCATCTTTGAAGTGGTGTGGGCCATCTTCAGACCAGGGACTTCTTTCGGGATCAGTGTTTTACGAGCTCTCCGCCTTCTGAGAATATTTAAAATAACAAAGTATGTAAAAGGCACCTTGCTACCCTGCCTGATAAGATCCTTGGCCTCTTCCAACCACACAGACCTTTCACTGCTTTTTTCTATGTCCTAGCCATTGCATTTGTTGTCACAGATCCCAGTTCCCTTGGTCCTGCACTTTCCAATGGATAATAGTACAGTAATGTTTCTATCTTCCAGGTATTGGGCATCCCTGAGGAATTTGGTGGTCTCACTGATGAGTTCCATGAAGTCTATTATCAGTCTGCTCTTCCTCCTTTTCCTTTTCATTGTAGTCTTTGCTCTGTTGGGAATGCAGCTGTTTGGAGGCAGGTAAGTGGCTGAAAAGCCAAGGGAGATGGAGCCCATTTATGTAAGGCAAATGCTAATATTTTCCATACCTCAAAGGGAGATATGGATTTTGGACCTTGACCTCCTACTTCATACCAGATTACCAAGAACGCTCCCTCTTCTAAATGGCCCTACAACTCATTTCCACTTGGGAATGGCACTTTTTTCTGGTCTTTGCTCCTGTGATGAAATGATTTTAATATGTCTTATAGTAGAGGTGAAATAGAGACCATGGAAGGAATAAAAACAGGAAAAAGGTGAGGGGATAAGATAGGCTACCACAGGAGCAGTAGAACTGGAAGGATACTAATCAGTGGTATGGTTCCAGCTCTATATTCTAGCTTGTCCATTTGGTTCCTTTTCAGATTTAATTTCATGGATGGAACTCCTTCTGCAAACTTTGACACCTTTCCTGCAGCCATCATGACTGTGTTTCAGGTAGGGGCCTAAGGCTGCTAATGTAAAAACAAGACTACTTGACTTTTTTACTCTGTGATCACTCTGGCCTTGTAGATTTTGATCCAGGATACTGTGGCAGTTCACTTTCAGAATGTCTTCCTTGTGGGCAGTAGATCTAGAAGTCAGGGGCCTGATTCTCCATGCAGCTATATTCAGTTTTCTGTTAGGGTGACTCCATTGCTTACACTGACACAAAGCACCAAGGAACAGAGTGAGGAACTGCTTCTTTATATATTTTAAATTAAAGTTCTGAGTCTTGCTGTCATGCACTGTACATTCCAAAACTCACTAGATCCTCAACCTAGAATACACCTCTTCTCACAGCTTAACATGTTTGTGGGACATGGTTAATCATGAAACAAGGGATTTGGACCATATCTTACACGTTTGCAGGTATCAGACTGGTGGGCTACATGTAGAATAATTGTTGGTGACAGAGCTGCCTGCTTCTTTGCTCAGATCCTGACAGGTGAGGACTGGAACGAAGTGATGTACAATGGCATCCGCTCCCAGGGAGGAGTCCGCTCAGGCATGTGGTCCTCCATCTACTTCATCGTCCTCACTTTGTTTGGAAACTGTATCCTTCTTGTTACTATATTTCAGTGAAACAGTCCTTTATTCTAGATCTCTCTCGCTCTCTGTCACTCTCTGAGATGAGACTTTCTTCCCCCTTTAACAGTAGTCTTCCTCAAAGATTCAGATTGAGGAAGCAGGTATCCCAGAGTCTCCTCTTTACACTTGGAGGTATGAGGGCACAGCCCTATAATTACCCCTTTCACACATGAAGGAAGTCAAACGTCCTAGAAACTCTCTAGTCTCATCTTACACTGATAGGATGCCTTTGGCTGTGTAAGAGACTCATTTCCTTTAGCACTGGTTTTAGTCCAGCCTCTTTAGGTTTCTGAAAATCAGCTTATTTGTGTCTTAATTGAGGAAGGGCCCCTCAGCAGCCTGGTCCCTCTGTTTGAAGCTGTCACATTCATTGGAGGTGGGAGGGGAGTTGCATGTGTCCTCCCATTGGCAGTTGTAAAAGTTCACTTTGTTACCTCATGGCTTGTTCACCTTAAACATCCTCCAGACACCTTGCTGAATGTGTTCTTGGCCATTGCTGTGGACAACCTGGCCAATGCTCAGGAGTTGACAAAGGTAAGTCCTAGGCCCCTCATGGCCTGACACCCACAATCTGCTACCCAGTGAACCTCATAAAGACTATTCAACATACACTGTACACAGGAGTCATCTCTTATATCACCCTAGCACCCAGTCTTGAGTCCTTGCCATGGTTATATGGGAAATGTGTTTGTTCCCTGTTGCATTTTCCTGTATTAATTTTTAATCTGTGGATGAATTTGGTGTTTGTGGGAGTATATGGATAATGACACTGTATGAAGTATATAATGACTTTTGTATGGTACCTAGCAGGGCCTCTGTCTGCACCTCTTGATTGACCTTGTATCTCCCTTGGTTTTCTAGCATTGTTCCCTACTATAGCTTTGTCAGTGCTCTTTGCTCCTGTCCTGCTGTTATTTTTTGGGGCCTCTTCTGAGCAGCAATGAACAAGTTTCCTGATAAGTGGTAGTTTTTGTAACACAGACAAATGGGGATTGGGCTGCAACCAGTGAATTCACTACCCCTTATGAAATGAGCAGTATTTCAGCTATTATTTCCAGTAGTGAAGAGCAAGTATAGCAATGCTCTGCACCTCCATGCTCCTGACTTGAGAAAGCCTGAAGATGAAAGCTCGTTTCTAATCCTGGTTCTGCCGCTGATTTAGGACTTGTCTCTGTGGGGAAGGCTGACCAGAATGGCTGTCCTAGGATGGCTCCCTGGAATAAGTGTGTTGCACCAGGACTTCTTCTGGAATATCTATTTTGCTTTAAATGCATGCTTTATCTTTCAAGTGCAAACAAGCCCACACTGTTGGGCAAATCACCAAGGGCTCCAGTCAAGAAAGCACATAAACCTGCTGAAATGCAAGCCTATTCAGGAAAGCATGCAAGTCCATGCTTAACGCCAAGTATGTGCTCACGTGCATTCCTGAATCAGGGCCATACTCTCTCCATCTCAGTTTATCTTCTACTAAATGGAGATAATGCTTGTTTGTTTAGCACTTTGAAAATGGAAAGTACTGACTGGGCTTTAAATAGTGTATTTACTCACATACAGCATACACAGTCCCCTTCCTACCCCCTCCCCCCCCCAAATTGTGATGCATTTTTGTAAGCAAGAAAGCTTATTTCCATGCTGGAATGGAGGCATGGGGATACTGGAATGGTTACCAAGGGCTCGCTCCACACTGTATTCCTGACCATATGCAGGACTGGTGGAATACACTCCTCTGTCACTTACTCTCTCCGTGCAAGCTCCAAAGTTAAAATTGTAACACTATCACAGCTGCTGATGAATTGGCAACAGCTTTTGTCAGCAGCTGTGATAAAGTTAAAGCTTTAGCTGTGGAGCTTGCAAGGAAAGAGCAAGTGATGCTGAAGAGTAGACTGTCCCTTCTAAAAGTAGTCTGCATTCAGCATGGCTCTGGAAAAAAAATCTTTTTCTAAATTCATTCTGCCTTCCCAAATCAAGGTGCATGTCTTATATGTGGCGTGAGGTATGCGAGAATGTATGGTAGTATTATTATTTAGCAGGACAGTCATCCTTAGCTAACAGTTGCACTTGGAACAATGCCAGGCTGGATTTCAGCACCCATTTAGGAGATAATTGACACATGCTGAAACTTTTGAGTATAGGCTCAAGCAGGAAGCATTGCAGTTGCTCTGGGACACCTTCATCCTCAAAGTGCAAGGGGCCTGTGATGTTTGATTTGCCCATAATCCATTGCTCTTATTCACATTCTTTGGTTTACTTAGCGGCCCCCTGCACCAGTGTCAATCTGATCTGTTTGAAGCAAGTGCAATGAAGCAGAATAATCAATTAAGTTATCTCATTTTCCATTGGGGCACTCAAAAGTATGCTTCCTCGTGAGGAAGAAGTGCCTACCAAACTACATGTTCATGGTTAGCACAGCTTGTATTTCCAAAGCATGGAGGAGGGCACCCAGGATTCATGCAGGGAGATTGCAGCCTTCATTCTGATGACACTGCCTTGCTAACTGTGGACCAAGAGCCCTGTTGTTCCTGTGCCAGCTCTAATGCTTGAAAGACTGGGTATTAGAGTATATATTATGTAGATTTTGGTATTTTATGTCCCCATGAAGGGGCTGAAAGGAAACTAATTGCATCCACATCCCAAGCTTCAGGGCTAGTGTTGGTCTCCTGTAAAAACCAAGAAGAAGAGCTTTTTCCTCATAAATGCATCATTTGGCTTCTGGTGGGGTTTATTTTTCCACCTGTCTTTGAAGCACTGGACATGAGTTGCAGCTGCAGGGAGTCTGACTGGAGTGTGCAGGTGCTCCTGATAGTATTTAGAAGTTGCTGAGGAGCCTGGCTGGCAGGCCTTGTTCATGTGCTTAGGCTCAAACTTATTACTAGATTTGGGGACAGGATGAAACTTTTCCTCACAGGTCAAGGACTATTTTTTTTAATTTAATGTCTCAGGCCAAATTAGCCAAATCAGTTTTGAATTCTGTAAACTGAGAAGAACTCAATTGTTCAAGTCTGTATGGTGCTACCACCAAGTATCCCCCTTCCTAAACTCTTCACCCTGCGGCAGGCATCCTATGGGAAGGCCCAAATCCATGGCAGGCATCCTATGGGCAGGCCCCAAACCCGGAAAACTCGGAGTTCAGGTGCCCCTGAGTCTCACACGCCTGTAGCCCAAAGGCCAAAGGAGCAAGCCAGGGAGAAATCAAGGATTATTTGTTTTGTCCTTTCTCTGTAGTGCAGGGCATGGTTCTCTTCCTAGGATCATTCAAGCATGTTTTCACTTCTGCAGTTCCCTACCACTGTATGTCAAAGCATTGATGATGCTCTCATCTTCCCTGATGTATTTCAGTGACACATTGGAAGGGTTTTTATGAGGTACTGTAACATGGGGCTCTTTGTTCACATGCCCCATGGGCACCAGTGCCCATGGGTCATGCCTGGGGCTCTCTGTTCCTTTAGAGAAGAAGCAGCTCAGTGAGGGGGCACTGTAGGCCAAGCAGGGTGCAGTAGCTGCAGGCTGCCATGGCTACAGGGCAGTTAAGCCAATTAGCAGGCACCTGTAGACAGCCCAGGCAATCTGATGACCTGAAGGGGGCAAGGCCCTTGGAGGATATAAGCCTGAGGCTTGGGCTAGCAGGCTAGTCTCTCTCTGGCAGCCACAGGGTAAAGAGTTCTTGGCAGCAGGGTTCCTGGAGTGATTGTGGTGCTGCATGTGGATCCCCCATGAGGCAAGGGGAGCTCACTAGGATATAGCCCAGGGCTGGTAGGCTATCCTAGTTTAGGGATTAGGGAAGGTTTTCCCTCTTAAAGGGGCAGAGGGATTCTTTCCTTTTTGGTGTTTATGTGATAACCCAGGGGCTTATACGTTGACCAGAGAGGCCCAGAGAGGGGTCTGGGATGAGAGAGGCCCAGCTAGGGGCCTGGGTACAGTAGCTACCAATGGGGTACCCAGGAACCCCAGTGGGAGGCTTCAGTTGGACTGGGGCCATGCGAAGGCCCAGAGGAAGCCTCACTTTTAGACCCATAAGGAACATCAAGGCGTGGCAGGAGAGAGAGACTGGAGGGTACCCTATGGGCAGAGTGAGGCATGTTTGCGGAGCCACCAGGAGACATCGCAGCCACCCTGGGACTCCGATGTGCTACAGGTACTTTGTGACTGTGGTGTGCAAGCAGTCAGAGTCTTTGTGACTGTGGTGTGTAAGAGGTGCAGAGGTTTTGTGGATCTTTTGGACAAATGATTACCTGTGAATGCAGGGAGCTGGACTCAGTGGCCTGAGAGACCTCTTCCAGTTCCATGCTTCCTGCTCCCATGTGGTGAAAGGAATCTCTTTAGATGTTGAAGCCAGGTTTCAGCAGTCACTACTGTCCCCCAACATGCTGTACCACACCCTGGTGTCCTGGCAGTTTCAATTAAGGAAGTACTGTGGCTGAGCTTTTAAAAGAGCTGAATAAACCACAATGGGCATTAATGACATTTGTTGCTACAATAACTAAGTGAAGCTCATTAGCGTAACATTATCCTTGCGGGCATCAGAAATGGATCCCTGGCCACCTGCTCAGGCAGGAAGACAAATTCTTACATGCTGTTGCTGCACCACACTGAGGACATGAGGCTAGATCAGACCTGCTTTCTTTGGCATTGTACCAGATCATACAGGGTAGGCTGGGGCCAGGACAGCTGCTGGACTAGATTCTTTTAAACAGAACGGCTTCCTTCCTGCCACCAGAGCCTGCTGTGCAGATACTGAGGGGTGGGATGCAGTAGCTGACTAGTCTTTTCCTCTCCCTGCCTCAGCTGTTCTCATCTCTCCTGCTGCTCCTGGGACCTCAGCCAAAGCCCACTGACATTAAGAGAAAGACTCCTATTGATTTCCATGGGCTTCAGACCAGCCCCATATACACAGCTGAGGCAGAGGGTGGCTCACATGCAAGGAGGGGGGTAATCAGGAACACTCATCTCTCCCTTCCCCAGCTTCCTCCTGTAAGGAGGGATGAGTAGGAGGGTACTTCCCATCTTTTCCTAATGCCACCTTTCCCTGTCACTTTTAAGGTCTCAGGGGTGGGCACTGTGACAGTCAACTGTGGAAACTGGGCCAGAATCAGGGAAAGAGAGAATGGGAGTGAGGGAGATGTACCATGCTGACACAGGAGAAAGAAAGGGGCACAGAGAAATGAGGGAAAGGAAGAGCCTGGTCCAGGGCAATGGGAAATATGGAGATCCCTGATAAAAGAATCTCCATGCTCTTGTGAATAAGTGAGGTTGATTACAGGAGTCCTGTGGGGCCTCTACAGTTGGACATTTAGTAACGTACCCCAGCCACGAACCTTTTGAATCTCACCCACGTGTATACAGAGAAACTTCTACAGTTGACTACAGGGCACAGAAATGCCCAAGGTGCAGTCTGAGAACTGGCCTCAGAAACATTTTTTTGGATGTCAGCACCAAAAAACATGCACACACCACTCCACAAACCTCCTCATACATGCACATGGTGCCTGCTGTCTGACCGCCCTCCTCCTGCTCCCTCCCAGCTCTTTGCAGGCTGG